ATGTGGGAGGCCCTTCATTTGATTACTGGCAACACACATGCGCGCGCACACACACACACACACACACACACGATGGGCACCTCTTTCCACATCTACTGAGCTAGACTTGAGTTTAAAAAGAAACTCAGGGTGCTGGCAAGATAGCTCAGTGAGCTAAAGTACCCGCTTAGGCAAGCTTAGGCAAGTGCAGGGACCATGGTTTATCCTGGGCATCACATGCTGTGCCAGCTTCATCCTTAGGGCGGGCTGAGCTGGCCACAGAGTCTGGGGCCTAGTGGTGGTATGCCTGTAATCCCAGTTTTGGGGAGGCTGAAAGAGGTGGATTACAACAAGTCTGAGCTGTGCAGTGAGACCCTGTACCAAATAAATAAATAAATAAACTTTAAAAAAATCCCTAGTACATGGGGGGAGATAAAAAGAAATATTTGCTGGGCACAGTTGGGTATGCCAGCACTTGGGAGGCTGAGAGAGGAGGATTACTGTGTTTCAAGTCTAGCCTGGGTTACATGATGAGACCCTATCCCCCAAAACAAAACAAAGACAAAGAAAGGAAAAGCTTATTGTGCAAAACAATTTGAAATTCAATGGCCACTTCAAAAAAAATCAGGTTTAATTAAAAAATTTCCATTGCTAGGGATATAGCTCAGTAGTACAAGCACCTGCTTGGCAAGTGCAAGGTCCTGAGTTCGATTTCTAGTACCAGGGGAACAAAAGGGGGGGGAAAATTCCATGAAGTAGAGTTATACCTCATCTAACTATCACTGTCATCAGTTATTGACTACCAAAGGTGGGTGCTCAGCTGGACTTTTTTGGGGAGGTTAGGCCTTGCCATGAGCATAATTTGTAAATTACTTAAAGGTGAACACAAAGATTTGAGCTAAGTAGAAAGGACCCAAGGCTTGAAGTAGCAGCTGGAGTCTCTAGCCCTCTATAGCCTTCAGTCAGTTTGCTGTGAAGTGAATGGAGCACAGGCCCTTCTTGACAGAGCCTCTGGGGTGGCTCAGGGCCACATATTTATGACCCAAGGTCTCAGTGAAAGCTCAAAGAGACAGAAAGAGAGGAGGGTGGAAAGGGGGAGGGAGAGAAAGAGACAGAGCTCACGAGCCGCTGTCTTTATTGCTCACTTGTCTCATCACCCTCACCCTTTCTTTCAGGAGCTTCTACAATGGCCATAGGCTTTGGGGGGATCTGCTAAGGAGACAACAATTGAATAAGGGGTACATTTAATTCAGGCTTAGTGGCATGCATTGAAGTGGTTTGTGGTAACTTCCACATAAGCTAAGTCATTCCTCACTGTGGGTGTAGAAGTGGTTTTCTGGAATACATCTAGTGCCCATTATGCCAATGTTGCTCGAGCCACAGAGTGCATGGCCCCAGGGCAGAACTCTGTATTGCCTGGCATAGGAAGTACGTGGGCAGTGAAGGAGAAACAAAGTTTAAAAGAAACTAGTCCATAGAAAAGTTTTCCAGGCATCAGAAATAACAAATTTTAAGTAGAGAGATTAGTGTTCTCAATGTCTAATCAAAAGAGGTTGATCAGCAACAGACCATGCTTTTTATGTACATCACACACACAAAAACACATATTAGAATTCATGTTACACAGAAAGAATTGGCTATTGTACGTTGTTAATTCCGCTCTTATAATCTGGACCGTATTCGCCCACAGAACGAAATGAGTTGAGTCCCTTCTTTACAAATGGTATTTTGATAGATACTGGATTGTATCTGTGTCATACTTGTGCCCTTTCTTTAAGAACAATGTTGCATTATGTTCATTTGGATAAAATGTGGTAACAACTGATTTAAATAAAATAATTGGCTTTCAGGAAAGTGCTTATTCTACTGAGCCATCTCCCCGGGGACCAATACTTGGCTTTCAAAAAAAAAAAAAAAAAGCCACATAGTAGAATTCCTGTTCTCACTATGTAATGTTGTATGTGGTATTCGACCTAATGCATTAGATCTTGAAATAAGGCAGACAATCCTGTCCTGAACAAACTTTCTGGAGCTCTAGTAAAAATTACATACAAAATTCTCATTAGAGCAGGCAAATGGCCTTAACTGATTTTTAATTTTGAGATAGGTTCTCACTAAACTCCACAAGCTGACCTCAAACTTGCAATCCTCCTGCTTCAGCCTGTTGAGTAGCTGGGATTACAGGTGTGTAGCACAGTGGTACCAGGCTCTGAAATCTTCCTTTTTTTTTTTTTTTCCAGAAGAGGGGATTGAACTCAGGCGTTGTGCTTGCCAGGGAAGCACTTATCCCACTGAGCCATCTCCCTGGCCTAGGCTCTGAAATCTTAAAGCTGACATATGGAAGACAATTAAGAGGCCAGGGAGATAGTTCAGTAGAATAAGTACTTGCCTGGCAAGCGCAAGGGACTGAGTTCTATTCCTGGTTCTCCACCCACCAAAAAAAAGAAGAAAAAAAAAAAAAAAAAAAAAAAAAAAGATGGAGGTAAGAAGAGAAAGAGGCCTAGCCCTTCTGTTTTCACTCATCCAACCAGGAAGGACTGAGCCCCAAGAGTCATTTGTCATGCCTTCCCCTTCACCTTGGGTGGTTCCATAAACCTACTCATGTTTCTTATCTTGGATTGTGTCTGTAGACTAGATTATTGCAAGAGCTAGCAGGAAAAACCACACGTATCTGTGAGGAATATAAAAAAATTGTGTTATATACATAAAAAACTCAAAATATATCTAATATGCAATTAAACTTAAATGAAATGTACTTTGCATTAAAAATTTAAGGATTAGGAAAAAACATATAAAAGAAGGGCCAGTAGGAAAATGGATGCACATTGAGACAACTGGGTTAAATGAAATAAATCAGACATATAAGCTTAAGTATCACATGGCTTTTCTTATACAAGAAACCCATTGCTGGTTGCGACAAAACAAAACAAAACAAAAACCCCAAAGGATAAATAAAGAGCAAAATAAAAGACAATAGAAATAAAGCAGAGGGGGCCTGGGGAGATGACTCAGTGGAATAAGTGCTTTCCTGGCAAGCACAAGGACCTGAGTTCAATCCCTGGTTCCACCAAAAAAGAAAAGAAGAAAAAGAAATAAAGCAGAGATGGTTAGGATAGATATACAGCTACTTTCTCAGTTCAATGAGGAAGAAAGGTTTGTATTAAGTGTTTAGACAAGATATCATATCTACATCATGTCCTCTGAATAACTACTATGAAGACAACAGTGGCCGGGGAGGTGGCTCAGTAGGATAAGCGCTTGACTGGCAAACGCAAGCATCTGAGTTCAATCTCCCGTTCCGCAAAAAAAAAAAAAAAAAAAAAAAAAGACAACAATATGCAATGTATTATTATAAATGTCCTACTAACATGTTTTTGTAACTGTTTCATTGGTATTTTATCTTTTTTCTCATTAAAATAAATAAAAAATTTCAAAAAATAATAAAATATAAATAAGAAATAAAGCGGACTGTGGGGGTGCACACCTGTAATCCAGGCACTTGGTAGGAGGATTGCTGAGTGATCAAGGCCAGCTTGAGTTACAAAGTAGGGTCAAGGACAGCATGAACTGCATAGTAAGATATTGTCTAAAAAAAAAAAAAAAAAAGATGGGGAGAGGAAAAGAAGAACGGGGAAGGAAAAGAGAATAAATTTAAGATGTGTTATCAACATGTACCAATTCCCTCACTCCCTGGGAGGAATGTAATCACTATGTACTGTTAACATGTAGTTTTTTAAAGAAAGTGCTGTAGTGCTGTAAGGGGCTAAGCTATGAAAAGTTCCCAAGAGCACTGGAGACTGACAACAGAGAACAGGGATGACTGGCAGCCTGACCATCAGTTACTAGGGGCGACTGGCCGAGGCCTAAATGGGTCCATGGAGAGCCCAGGAGCAGCCACAAAGCAGCTGCAAAAGTTGCTGGAAGTGCTCCAGAAAGCTGCCAGAGGTGCCAGAAGCCCAAGCCTTTCTGCTGGGACTCGGAGCTTCTGGGAGCTGAAGACCACCATAGCGCAATCTGGGGCCCTAACGTCAAGAGAGCGCACTGCACTTCACGGAGTCATGATTTCCAATCAAATTGAGCAAAAGAATCCTCAGCTAATTGGTGGTGGTGTCCCCTATTTGATAGCAACCCTAAAAAGCTATAGGACAATCTCAGTAATGAGTTACCAAATGAAAGAAATTTTATCATATAAGGGAAAAGACTCATCTTTCTGTCTTCTTTCTTTTTTTCTTTTCTTTTTTTTTTTTTGCAGTACCTGGGATTGAACTCAGGACCTTGACGCTTGCCAGGCAAGCGCTTATTCTATTGAGCTATCTCCTCAGTCCTAGATTCATCTTTCTTTATGGAAAATATTACAAGATAATTGTTACAGGAAAAAGTAATCAAAAGCAAGCGGCCAGCAAAATAGAGGAAAAATTACAAATGGTGCCCCCAAGGTCTACAAACACAGGTGTCTTGGCCAAAGGCATTTTCCATCTCTAGCAAATTGTGCTCCTGGTCCTCTGCATAACCTGTAGAAAGGCACTGCACTGCTACTAAATATCCGTGTTTTGGTCACATATGTGATTTTCGTGAGTTAGTGAGTCCTTTCTCATTGTAACATATTGTCTTTCCCAGCCTCCTACTCTAATGTTTGGTACTTTTTTCCCAATGGGGATCTAAGAAATTGCACGAGATTATTGCTGTAAAATCAGACGCTGTTTCTGCCTACAAACTACTTCAGAGAAGCCAATGAATTTCTCAGTAGTTCGTTTTCTCACAAACAAAACAAACCTAGAAAACAAACCCAAGCATCTGGCCCATATTTTCTCAGACTCGTGGCACGGGAGCTCTCTGCCTGCGGAGCACCGGCCAGCTGGCGCAGGAGTCACAGCCAGAAGAACGTCCGGGAGGACCCCGGGAGGCCCGCCCGGCGCGGGGATCGAGGAGGAGGCGCCACCCGTGGCTCCGGTGGGCGGGGCGCCTGGCCCGCCTCAGAGCGGAAGTTCCGGTGCCGGCGGGCGGGGGTCAGAGGTCAGCAGGAAGTCGGTACGTGGCCGCCGCCTGTCTCTGCTGAGGAGGCGCAGCAGCCGGAGATGGCGGCAGTGCTGAGCGCGGAGCGCCTGGAGGTGTCCGTGGACGGCCTCACGCTGAGCCCGGACCCGGAGGAGCGGCCGGGCGCGGAGGGCGCCCCGCTGCTGCCGCCTCCGCTGCCGCCACCCTCGTCTCCCGGGTCCCGCCGGGCCGGAGGCGCCGCGAGCGAGCTGACGGTGTCCGGGGAGGCGGCGGGGGGCGCGGCGGACGAGGCGCGGCGGCTGGAGCAGCGCTGGGGCTTCGGCCTCGAGGAGCTGTACGGCCTGGCGCTGCGCTTCTTCAAAGGTGAGTGGTCGCCCCTCGCGTGCTCCCCGGACTGGGCCGGCCCGCCCGGTGTTAGGCCGCGGTGACCACGGTGTTGTCTTGGCGGTCCCCGGTGCCGGCATGGCCCCTGGGTCACGCCCCGAAGGGTCCAGGGAGCACCTTTTGCGTGTGCGCCCTGTCTTCCCTGGTGAAGCTGCAGTCTCCCTGAGGATGTTGTTCTGGGCTTCTTTCTTCCTTCACCGACGCTTTTCTGTTCCTGTGTCCGGTGGCTTGCCACTTCAGACCCCGCTGTCGTCCCCTCTCCCCTGCCCCGTAGTGGAAGAATTCTTTCTGTAGGTCCCGCACATAGATGGCAGCTATTCTGAAGAACCATAAACCTGAGTAAGGCATAATCACCGTAGGGATGTGGCAAAGAAGGAAGTATTAAGTTTATGTGTATCAGCCGCAGTGTTCACTGTGTTCTAGTAACTTCTAGGTTAAAATTTTACTTCATAAGTAACGTGCAAGAATAAATGTCCAGTCGGGCGTGGAGGCTCACGCCTGTAATCCCAGCATTCGGGAGGCTGAGGCAGGAGAATTATTGCAAGTTCGAGACCAGCCTGGGTTGCAAAGTGGGCGCAAAATCAGCCTGAATTGCATAGCGAGACCCTGTCTCAAAAAGACAAAAAACAAAATCAGAATTCTCAGAGTAAGGCCTAAAATTATTCTGTGTTTCTCGCAAAATTGTTAAGTGTCTTTTGCCTTAGAACACGATTGTGTTACGTCTTTTTTTTTTTTTAATTGGATGATTCATTTAGTCATTTGTGGAGATAGCAGTCACTTGATTTTGTCAGTGGGTAAGACTGATGACCATTAGTTTGATTCTTAAAGATATTTAGCTCTTTAACAGAAAGGTAGGGAGAAACATCCACAAATGAAAATTTTAAAATCTAGGCAAGGCCTGTAAATCCCAGCACTTGGGAAGCTGTGTCTGGAGTGAGTTCGAGGTTATCCTGAACTACAAAGAGTTCAAGGACAGCCTGAACTACTTAGTGGAGACCCTGTCTCAGAAAGACAAAACAGAAACATAAAACCAACCCTAGCAGGTTGCTAGGTTCCATATACATTCTAGAACAACATTTATGACAGTCTTCTCAGAGTACACATTTTATCAGTTGAAGTTGAGTGGTTCAGTGTTTTCTCCAAAACTTTAGCACAAAGTAGAGAAAATCTTACAAATTTTTCAGAATATTCATCCCAGATTCATTGCTTATTTATTTTTTGGAGTGCCTTTTCAAATGCACCCTTGAAGTAGTTATTGTGCAAGGCCAATGAGTTCAGCCCTCCGAATTAAGTAGGTTGAGGATTAAGTAATAGCTAATGGCTTTTGGATCACTTGAACCTTTAGGTTGCTGACTAGTTTGCTGTAGTGGTGATACATTACCATCTGATACAACTCTAGTGGTGTCTGTACAGTTAAAACTTCTACTTTAAAGTTCTATTCTTGGAACTTTTCAAGGAGACAGCAAGAGTAGGAAAACACACACACACACACACACACACACACACACACACACACAAACCCCCACACACAAAAAAAAAAGAATAGGAAAACACCTCTAGCTTTTGCCACATGACTAACAAAAAACTGAACAGTTTCAGGTTCTCAGCCTGACTTGAAAGTATAATATCCACTTCAGTGATAAAATACACTGTATAATGTGCAATAAATTTAGCATAACCTTGACAATCAGGGACATTTGGAGTCCAGCTCCTGAGCTAATTCTCCATATTCGATTTCATATGTATAAAACAAGATGATGGTGATGATTGCTACATCAGTTTTAAGATTCACTAGTCTGAATTTAATAGGTTATTTATCATGTTTGTTGATTGATAAGAATCCTATGGAGATCCATTATTTGGGGGCCTATTTATCAGTTCCAGAAGAGTAAAAACTTTCATTGATGTGTATGGTTCATATAATTTTAAGCTAAATTCTCAAAGCAGTGTCCAGGTACCCACCTGTGTAGATCATTACATTAGATAATAGTAAAAGACTAGACTATAAGAGACTAATTTAAAAAAAAAAAGGATGTAAAAACAGAATTATGGACAGTGAGGTGAAACAAGTTATGCTACCTTTGTTTTGATGTAGGAATTTTTCTGGCAAAATATGTGGTGTTTTCATTAGTCTTACATGGATGTCCAGGAGATCACTGTTTTGTGATTTTTGTACCTCTGTATGAAGAATTAAAAATAAGATTACAGGGTTGGGGGGATAGCTCAGCGGTCTAAGCACCTGCCTGGCAAGTGTAAGGACCTGGATTCAATGCCATGCTGTCCCTGGAACCCCTGGTGCACCTTGCCAGCCTCCAAAACCAGGTGTGGTGGCACATGCCTGTAATCCCATCACTGGGGAAGCTGTATTAAATAGGAGGAATACTATGAGTTGGAGCTGTATAGGGAGACCTAGTACCAAATAAATACATAAAGTTTTTTTTTTTTTTTTTTTTTTTTTTTTGGCAGAACTGGGGATTGAACTCAGGCCCTTGCACTTGCCGGGCAAGCACTTATTCTACTGAGCTATCTCCCCAGCCCCACATAAAGTTTTTAAAATAGAGTTTTAAAAAAAGTTATATTTTATCTTCTGCTGTGAAATAAATAGCAACCTTAAAAGGATGGGTATCTTTTTCCGTTGAAAATATTTTGGATTGGGAATCAGAAACCTTTGCTTCGTTTCCCTGCCTTGTCACAGTGGTCATAGGGCAATTATTCAAGCAACTACCTCTTAATTTTGTGAAGTTTAGTGCCATAATATGGGTTTTGGTGTAGCTCAGTGTCATGCATTTGCTTAGCATGCTCAAAGTCCTTGATTTGATCCCAGTTTTGAAAAAAGGTGAAATAATAGATGAAAGCAGGTAAATGTAAATGTTACACCATTATAGATTACACATTATTGCCTTTTTTTTTTTAAACACTAAGACTTGAACCCAAGACCCTTGTGCATACTTGGCATGTGCTATGTTCTACCCCTGAACTATATTCCCAGTCTTCCTCAACCCTACTGGTTATTTTTATTTTTTAAACCCTGAAACAAGGCCTCACTCAGTTGCTCATGCTGGCCTGGAACTTGTGTCGCTTCTGCTTCAGCCTCTTGAGTAGCTGGGATTATAGGTGTGCATCACCAATCCCAGGTCATTGTATCCTTATTATGGATAAAAGTTTTAAATTAGGTTACTACTATAAATGAATAATACAGTACAGTCTTATTTGCTGCTTATCAATTTAAAAATCCAAAAGTGGAATTAAAGACACAGAACAACTGGAATGCAGGGTGAAAGCCAGTTGATAAATAATGCCCTTTCAGAGGGGAGAAGGCCCAGAGGCTTGAAAGGGCAAGGTGTGTGTACTGGATCTGGGAATGGAGGGAGAGGGTGTAAGGGAGGGAAATGGGGGAACAGATATGATCAGAATATGTTGCATGAATGTATGATGAAAGTACCACATTGAGACCTAGGATTTTATGAACAATAGGCATTACTAAAAATGTATATTTAAAAAAAATAAAATAGATTAATGGTGATGAAAAGGTAAATTAAATTGAGAAAATGCTATTTAAATAGTTTGGCCTTTTTGTTGAGAGATAGTGAGGAAACATTACATTTGGGGGGGGGAGCAAAGTTACCTCTCCAGCACTGAGATTACAAGGGTGTGCCACCACGCCCCATCTTGCGATCATTTCATTGCGCCTGGGAGTGGGGCAGGTGCTGTGTGTGGTGCTGGGATCAAACCCCATTCCCTACATTTGCCTAAGTAGGCACTTAGTCCACTGAGCTATCTTGAAGGCCCTGTTGTTTTTTGTAGTACCAGGGAGTTCAATCATTCATATGTATATATATGAATCCAGGATCATGAATTGAGTTACATTGAGTGATGGTCCTATCTTCTTTGATTCTATAAACTAGAACAGTTTTTGTATTTTAAGACATAATTTTTGGCTTATCTGATAGGTTGTCGTGATTATATTCAGATTTTATACTTTTGACAGGATACTGCAAAAGTGGAATTGGGTAATTTTTAATCCATTATGTCACAAAATATGTCAGTTTGATTCATTGCTAGTGATATTTTGTTCAGCTAGGTGTGGCGGTGCACCCCTGTAATCCCAGGACTCAGGAGGCTGAGGCAGGATGATCCCTGGGAGTTTGAGGGCAGTCTGGGCTACAAAGTGAGTTCAAGACCAGCTTCAATTACACAGTGAGACCTTTTCTTAAAATTTAACAACAGGGGCTGGTGAGATGGCTCAGTGGTCTAAAGCACCTACTTAGAACAAGCTTAGCAAAGCACAGGGACCGCGGTTCAATCCCCCAGCACCACATGCCAGCCGGCCCCGCCCCCTGGTGGGCTGAGCTGGCCACACACACACACACACAATAAATTAAAAAAAAAAAATTTAACAACAAACACTTTAGTTGATTAAAGTTGTGCCTAAGATTTCTTCATCATACATTTGCTTTTCCTTTTTTTAAAATTTATTTATGTGTGTGTGTGTGTGCGCGCGCGCGTGCGTGTGTGTGTGTGTGTGTGTGGCCAGCTCAGCCCACCAGGGGGCGGGGCTGGCTGGTTTGTGGTGCCGGGGGATTGAACCGCGGTCCCTCTGCCCTGCCACAGCTTGTTCTAGGTAGGTGCTTTAGACCACCAAGCCATCTCACCAGCCCTTACTTTTCCATTTGTAATAAGTATCTTTTGGGGGTAGATTCCTTTAGACTAAGTATACGTCTTCTCAAAATTTCTTCCATTAGTTTTAGTATCCATTGGTGATTCTTTCTTGGGACAATTCGTATTATGGCAGATTGCTAAATAAGAAAATTCCATCAATCGTTCATCACTTTTTTAAAGGGTTTTTTTTTTTTTAATTTTATTTATTTATTTGTGTGTGTGTGTGTGTGTGTGTGTGTGTGGCCAGCTCAGCCCACCAGGGGGCGGGGCTAGCTGGCATGTGGTGCTGGGGGATTGAACCGCGGTCCCTGTGCTTTGCT